AAAAAAAAAAAAAAACAAAAACAAAACAAACAAACTGACGCGAATGAATTTTGTTAACCTTAATTACGTCATCATATATTTAAAAATTAATTTTAAATAAATACATAAATATATTTAAAAAAAAAAAATTAATAAAAAGTAAAAAAATAAAATAAAATAAAATAAATAAACGGTTGATTTATTATTATTATTATTAATAAAAAACCTTTTTTCGTACGAAACTTACCCGTGTATTATCATCATCATCATCATCGTCGTCATCAAACATCTTCCTTTCGCGGTTATCATTTTTTAAATGACTGATAAGAACAATTGATTAATTGACGCACAATCACGTGTTGTATTTGTATTTACTTTGATTCTCGTGTTATTATTCTCGCGATTTGTTTGTTTACATTTTTTTTACACTCGGTCGAGCATATGATTCGATTATTTTATTTACGCACAAACAGCGTTAAAGCAGAAGACAAAAAAAAATAAATAAATAAATCCGTCGACGAAGGAGGACTATATAAAAGTGATTGGGAAAAAAAATTTTTTTTAAATTCGAAATAATAATATTATTCGATATAAAAAAATGAAAAATTATTTATTATTAATTGCTTTCGTCATCGCTTTAGCAGGTAATGTATTTATTAAATATTTTTTTATGTACATAAATTTTACGTGAATAATAATTAATTAATTTTTTTTTTTTTTTTGGTTTTTAGCCATGGCCGAAGCTGATGTTAAAGACATGCAAAGAGTTTTCGATGAAGGTTTTGGTAGATGGATAAGAAAATAAACTGCAAAATTATTAACATACATAAGAAAAATATTATAAATAGATTTTATTAATGAGCATGTGAAATTACTTATTTATTTAATTATTTATTACCTTTTCGAATTTTTCGTATTACGTAAAAGAAAAACGCGCATAATTAAAAAAAAAAAAAAAAAATTATTCCGATTCGTTTGTTTTCAATGCCGGGACGGCGGCGGTGGGGCGGGGGAGGGGAAGGAATTTAAAATAGAAAATTTCAAGGTTTTTTTTTTCTAATAAAAGGTTTTGTTAAGTTTTTAATTTTAACATTTTGTTTGTTGTTGTTGTTGTCTTGACGCACAAACTTGAGAGAAAAATGATGAAAATTTTATTGCAATTATGTTTTGCACTTCTCGCATTAGCAGGTAAGTTTACATTTTAATTTTTAATAAATATGGCGGTAGAATGTACTCAAATAATTATAATAATAATAATAATATTATTTTGACATTTAGTTACTGCCGAATGCGTTAATCACAGGCATGAATTGTACAACGATCGTCTCCGATAGATAAAATATAAACAAAAAAAATGATTAAAAAAAAAATTTTCCTTTTGGTTTTTATAAATGTTTTAAACAAAATAAATAAATAAGTTTTTTTTTCGAGCAATAAATTATTTATTTATTTAATTACACACAAACAATAATATCATTGAATAATAATAATAATATTTTTAAACTTTTTGTTAAAAATAAAAATTTTTTATCATTTTTAAATGTTGTAATAAATTTATTTTATTGTTATTGTCAATAATTATTAAAATTGTTTAATAATTAGTAAAATTATTTTTTGAAGGTTTTTAGATTTCACTAACTAATTAAAATTTGAATTTGAATAATTTTAATTAAATTTAAAGAACTTTTTACACAACTTTAATAACTACTGTTTAAGAATACACTTCTATTATCACTGATAAGAGGGGGGAAAAGCGGTTATCAGTGTAACTCGAACGGGGGTAAGTGTTAACTGTTTGAGATGGAAAACAAGAGTTATTTTATATGATAAGAAATATTCAAGATTCAAATTTGCATCTGTGGAACGCCTGATTGGTGTTAGAGTTTAAGATGATAACAATCAATTGATAAGCGTTTTTCTCCATAATTTTTTTTGTTGTTGTTGATAAGAATTGATTTTCTATTATTTATCTATAATTAATTATTGAATGAGAAAATTGTCATTTTTTATGTATTCGTTTAAAAATTTTATCAACATATGGGGTAAACAATAGGAAACAAATGAATATCACTTTTAATGCTGTTTATTAATTTTTTTTATGCGAATGATTGATTGATTTATTGTGTTAAGAAAAATTAATTTAAAAAATTTTATCTATCGTTTAAGAAGAAGAAGAAGAAAAGGAAAAAATTTTATTATTTAAATAAAATAAATTAAATTTGTTTAAATAAAATATAAATAATTTTATTTAAAAATTTTTTTTTTTTGCACAGAAGAAAAAATTTCTTTGAATTTACATGAGAGTTTATTTGG